TTTTTTGAGATGGAGTGTTACTCTGTTGCCAGGCTGGAGTGCAGTGGTGCCATCTTGGCTCACTGCAACCTCCGCCTCCCAGGTTCAAGCGATTCTCCTGCATCAGCCTCTGGAGTAGCTGGGATTATAGGCGCCCGCCACCATACCCAGCTAATTTTTGTATTTTTGGTAGAGATGGGGTTTCACCATGTTGGCCAGGATGGCCTTGATCTCTGCCCACTTCGGCCTCCAAAGTAACCTACATTGCCTCTACTTTGAAGGGACAAAGTTGTCCTGGTATTTTTCTCTTTTATTATTTCATTATAAGTATCCTAAAACTTACATACATTGCCTATGTTTGGCATTCCATAACATAAGAGTCCCTCAATGTCAGAAAAATGTGTGTGAGTTCCCATTTTTGTTGGCAATGTACTTTATAAGCTTTTTAATATAGTACAATTTTAAACTAAAATGTAGAAAGAATATTATGTTTATATACAACTGCAGAAATTATTAACTGTTGTAATTTAAGCTGAAAATGCAACTATTTTAATATCAGTATAGAAGAAAAGTATAGTTTCTAATCACCTGTAATTTTAAAATGCAAAGCCTATAAAACTTTCAAGATGTTTGCCTATTTGTTTTTAATATTTATAATAATTTTCTGCAAGTAGCTATTGTTAAGCCAGGTAACTTCTTTATTTGAACTGTATTATACTCGCAGACCCTTATTCTGCCTAGAAATGAGTAAGTAATAAATAATTACTCTGTATTTATTTACTTCTTTTATTTTATAGTAAAATATTCCATTTGAATGGACATTAATTTGAAATCATTTTGATGACTTTTTTGGGGTAGGGGGACAGGGTCTCTCTCTGTTGCACAGACTAGAGTGCAGTGATCTGGTCATAGCTCACTGCAACCTTGAACTCCTGAGCTGAAGCAATCCTCCCACCTCAGACTCCCAAAGTACTGGGATTATAAGTGTAAAGTACCATGCCCAGACAAAAAAAAAAAAAAAAATTTAATGTCAGCAGAAAAGTTTCCAACCATCCAATTAAACAGATAATTTGTTTACACTGAGGAGGAGAAGCATGCGATAACTCTGATGTGTGTGTATGTGTATACACGGATGTGTAAAGAGAGTATGTGTACATGCATGTGTAAAATAGCATGGGTATTCAAAGGAACAGGTCCAAGTTTAGGAAGAACAGGTCATGTTGACTTGGTGGTATATGCCCAGAACTTGTTTGTTGATGTCAATAAACTTAGTACCCTTTTTTGGCGGGGCCAGAGAAGATGTCATCAGACTGTAAATCTGAATTGCTTTCTCTCTTTTTCTTATTGATATTTAAGAGTATGAAAGAAGAAAAAAGGTCGTTTTGTCCAAAAGTATTGTGATAAAGCTTAGTCATAAATTTCAAATGCTGATATTTATCAGCTGTAATGTTTTAACAAAATCTCTATCAGCCAACCTAGTGCTCCCAGTAGTCAGCAATATCTCTTGTATATTGCTTGTATAAAATAGTTCCGCATGCAAACAAAAAATTTAAAATACACAGTCTCTTTAGAGGTTTCACATCTTATTGCATCTCTTTTAGAAAAAAGAAAAAAGATTGCATTATATATATATATATATATATATATATATATATGCACGCATGGTAATTAAATTTGACTTTCCCCAAATGCCTTGAGAAAAGAGATGACAAAATGAGATGTGACAAAATCAGAGTTCAGAGTCATGTGCCTTAGAAAGTTATGTGACGTTTTGGGCTTCATTCGCCTTATCTATATGAATTATAATACTGCTTTTGTAAGTTTAAGGATTAAATCGTATAACATGTAAAAAGTGATTAGCATAGTGTTTGGTTCAGAATAGGTGCTTAATAAATGTTCTCATTCTTTTTTATTATTATACTTTAAGTCTGCAGTACATGTGCAGAACGTGCCAGTTTGTTACATAATTATACATATGCCATGATGGTTTGCTGAACCCATCAACCCATCATCTACATTAGATATTTCTCCTAATGCTATCCCTCCCTTAATCCCCCACCCTGAGGCAGGCCTCTGGTGTGTGATGTTCCCCTCCTTGTGTCTGTGTGTTCTCATTGTTCAGCTCCCATTTAGGAGTGAGAACATGTCATGTTTGGTTTGCTGTTCTGTGTTAGTTTGCTGAGAATGATAGTTTCCATCTTCATGCATATCGCTGCAAAGGACATGAACTCATACTTTTTTATGGCTGTGTAATATTCCATGGTGTATATGTGCCACATTTTATTTATCCAGTCTATCTTTGATGGGCATTTGGGTTGGTTCCAAATCTTTGCTATTGTGAATAGTGCTGCAGTAAACATACGTGTACATGTGTCTTTATAGTAGAATGATTTATAGTCCTTTGGGTATATACATAGTAATGGGATTGCTGGGTCAAGTGGTTTTTCTGGTTCTAGATCCTTGAGGAATCGCCACACTGTCTTTTATAGTGCTTTGTTCTCATTCATTTTCCTTATAAAATGAATACTGTCTAAATTGAAGTAATAGTGTGGCATGTTTCTTACAATATGTCACTTGTAAAGATGTTTGTTTTATTTATTCCCTATGAGAAAAGCAGCAATGCAATCATTATTTTTATAACTAGTGACTGTATGCATGGCAAGCTTTATTTTATGTAAGTTGAAGCCACAACTTTCCTATTAAAAAAAAACAAAAGATACTCCTCCTAACCTGCCTCTTTCTGTGTGACTTAAACCTAAGTGGGTCATCATCAAGGCATTCGGGCCTTTCACAGTATCTTTTCAGTTTCATCTGCCTCTGCTTTCCTCCTCTTCCAACCAAACTGTCTACCTGCTGTTCCTCAGATATACTCCCTCATCTTATCCTATCAATCAAAATCCAACTTATTTTTCAAAGGCAGTATCTTGTACATCAGCAGTTCTCAAAGTGAGTTCCACTCTCAGGGGTCTTTCAGCTGGTCCACAAGATCAAATCTACTTTCATAACACTAAGATGTCAATTTCCTTCTTCACTGCGTTGACCTATGTGCAGATGGCGGAAATGGCGGATAGCACTGCTGGCACCTCACTTAGCACCATTCAAAGCAGTGATGCTGTGCACCTGCCATCAAAAAAGCCAGTTTCACGTAAGAATATTCTTGAGAAAGGCAGTAAAAATTATTATCTTAGCCTTCAATAACATGTCTTTTTAATATTCTGTGTGACTAAATGGGAAGTACAACTAAAGCACTTGAGCAATTGTCTGAGTTGTGAGCTGAATGAACTGTTTTTCGTGGAACCCTTTTTTGCCTAAAAGAACAGCTGATAGACAAAAACTATGAGTATTCAGAAAATTAATAATGTGAGTCTCCTCCAAGAAAATAACTGACAGAATGTTAAGTGAAAATTAGAATTTCAGAAAATTTGTATTCACTGCGAACATGTCCCTATTATTTAAATTCTTTCCAGATAAGACTAGTGGTGATATTAACAAGCAATTTTTATACTATATAATGAAATGTAACAATATTTGGAAGCTCTGTATAATTCAGCAAACTAATATTGCCAAGGAACCAATACATGATATAACAAAACTATACATTTAAAATGCAAGATAGATCAATAGATTTTAACATTACTGCATACTGAAAGCTCATTTGATATGATTTCAGTTTCTACATCGCAGCTAACTTTTAAAAAACTACTACTTGTGAAGTTTTGATGTAGTATTGAAAAATAGGCACACTTATCTGAAAAGGCTATTACTCTCCTCTTTTCCAACTGT